CCCCCCGGCCTGCCTGGGTCTGAACTTATTTGATTCAAATGAAGTGACCACAGCCAATATGATTTAGTGATGAGCAATGGCAGTCCCAAGAGTCAGGATTCCGGTTTTAGTTGACACATTTTTACAGGTATCTAAACATTCATATTAAAAGTTTGGTTTTTTGAAGACACTTCCCATGAGCTAAAACACCTGTCAAAAGAAAAAAGCAACTAGAAGAAATCCTCCCTTATATTGTGTATAAATTTACTATATTCTGCTACAAGGCAGTCCTGTCTCTTTGAATAAATGTATTACTGAAAGACTGTCAAACACAGAAGTTGCTTATGACAAGTGAAATGCACCTAACCACACACACCCCGGTCTCAATCTCTCGTGAGGGCGATTTGTCTCCATTTCAAGAGTTTTAGAAATGTTCCCTGACTATTTTGTAAACATAATTCCAAACAGCTTCCCAAGCTCATATATATAAAAATCTTCAGCACATTGTCTATAAATGAGTCAGGTTATCGTTACTTACACAGGACCAAAAACCTCACACAGCATTTCATCAAAAACTTAAGTCATTGTCAGGGGAGCTAAATCTGTTTTTAATCCCTGTTTTGATCTTAAGTGGAAAGCAAACATGTATTCGTATCACCCCCTAGGAGACCATGGAACACATCCCGAGGTGTAAGGGTGGGTTTTTTGGTTTGTTCGCTTGTTTATAATAGGTACAGCCATGGGCCTTGAAGACCAGCTGGACTATGGAGCATCTTAGGTATTGCAGCAGCGTTAAAGAAGTTACTCAGTGACAGGTGGCTTGGATTGCCTGGGGTTTTAGGTAGGCAAATATCTAAGTACCAATGGGAATATGTCTAAGTATCAATGCCTGATACAAGGAGAAAGAGTACAATAATAAATAGAATCTCACTAAACAATTTGTTTTTAAAGCAGCTGATCACTAGTTTGAGGAAGGACATACCGACTTGCCTAGCTAGCTCTTCAAACCCTTCAAAACACACTAGGAACAGACATTAAAGGATTCATATAAATAGTCACAGCTTCCCACTGTACTCCACAGAATATTTATGTAACTTAATAACATGTAAAGAGTAAATTGACACAAAGTACTACTAAAAAGTGTTACCTTTAGGACGATTAAATGTTTTCTGAACAATAAATTACAGACTATCCATACAACAGCAAAGCAGTTAATCAAAAAAATAAGGTTTTCAAACAAATGATACTGTTTTTAGTTTCTGTAATAGCTCTGGCATTCTAATCTCATTAAAGAGCAGGAATACTGCAATTATAAATATCACGCTTTGTTTGAACACAGCCCTACCCCCATGTGAGGCTATACACCACCTTTTAGCCACAAATCTGCAGAAAGACTCTCTCAAGAGGGCTCTCAACAGAACAATTCATATTCATTTAAATTAAGTCTTTTACATAATGCCAGCGTATTTTTCATTTGTGAGCATCAAAAAAAAAGGAAGGTAACAGCTGACAGACTGAAAATAACCTATTCCACAAAATGCTTATATTTGCTTAAGTCATGAGATAACTAGATTAGTGTAATAAAAAGAATGCACAGGTAATACAGCTTTAGAAGTTCAGGGGAAATCTCTTGAACTTTATCTAATTGAAACCACATAGTAAAAGGCAGCTTTACTAGGAAAAAAAATTAGACGTTATCAGGTATTACTAATTAAAAGTACTGTTCTGAAGAAGTTTTTTTTCCAAAACCATCCCACCTAATTTCCACACAGCTTCCTCACCTCCACCCAACTTCACTTGGGATCAGAAGCCAACTCACCACAGGCCAAGTATTGAAAAGATACAGATTTTCCCTAATAAACACCACCTGTGAACACATCACCCAATTACAATATCTATTACATATTATTTGCAGTAGCAGATCAAAATTCCTGAACCTTACTCTTGCACCAGAGACATTCATGAAAATTAGCTGAGCAAAATTAAATCACTAGGTAGAATGAGCTCTGACACCAATAAAGTATCCACACATCTTAAAAGACTGCTATTCAAAGACAAACTTCAGTCCAGATCCTTAAGAGGGAGGTATAACACCCCTCGGCTATCAACTCTACAGAACACAAAAATATATATATAATAATCAGACATATTTGGAGTTTACAGCACAGTGTAACATCTCCCTTTCGCTGCCTGCATGGCTAACACTGTATACCATGTAAGAAGTGACCTTTGCACCTCTTCCCACAGAAGATAAGCACTGTCAACCACGACTAGCATCCTCCCTCTGCTCCACCAGACCAGCTAACTCTTCTTCTGGATGGTCTTTCTGGTTAGCCCCTCTCACTGAACCTGGAATAATTCTCCCAGCTTGCATTACAGCTAAGTTTGCCACTTCTTTTCAAACCTGACAAAAGGCTTGTGCGTTCAAAAACTATGTATAACCCTGTTACCTATTCTAGTTAAAGAAATGATTGCTACCTATAAACTCTCCTCCCCCGTGTCCTTTGACCATCACAACTGTAACATTAGCATCATTATTTTATGTATTTCCATATAGAAATATCACCATGCTCATATCAACTCGAGATCCCAATTTTGATCCCCCTGAAGTCATCCAGTTACAAGTTATCACAGTCTAACTATGAGAATTCAGACCTCTGGTTTTTTAAATATTTTGTGGCTTCCTCAGCTCCCAATGAGACATAACAAGCACCCACGATCATAAGCTGCATTTATTGCAGAAGTTAGCTGATTGTATATGCACTGCATCTATTTTACATGAAAAAATAATGCCAATATATTTTGGCCGTAATTCCTTCTGTAAACAAACCTGCACATTTATCAAGCCTAAAAGCTAAGTGTTTTGTGTAAGCTATGTTCCTCCCCATAAAGTAATTGTCTCCTTTAAATGTTCTGAAATGGATACAGAAAAATTGCTGCTGTTCATTATGTTGCTTCCTAACCTTATAGATATTCTGTAAATCCCAAGAAAAGAAAGAGCATGAAGTAACAGCGATTAATTGGAGAAGCTAATGAAATTTAAAAAAAAAAAAGGTAATGAGCACCTTTGAAGAGGCAGCTAAGCATTAACAGTTCATTAAGAGGAGGAAAGATATTTAAACTTCCAAAAGCACAAGGAAAATTTCACAAACCAAGGTATACAAAGATGCTTAATGCAAAAAAATGCCAATTACCATGGGAAGTTTCTGCAGCCCTTACAGAATAGCATTTCAGATAACTCCTGCAAATAAGTTTTACTTTAAGAATTACAAAATCTACTTCTATTTGGATAAACCTTGACGTCTCTCTTACACAGTCATTAATAAGTAATATTTTTAATTTGTGCTTCTTTGGAAAATATGAACAAAAATTAAACTTGAAATTATAACAACTTATGACTGGGCTTAAGTTCATAAGTGAAGTTATTTTAATAGCTTGCATAAGCTATTACAAAGTCAGTAATGCAAGTCACTGACGAAGCATAAGGGATGTTTAATTCCTTCTTTTGTTTGTGAATTGTGAAAGTATGAAAGAGCGAGAGCTATTTATTTTCAGACCCTGAGAGATAAAGCAACCAGAAATAAATTAGTTCAATTAAACACAGGAGACCATTGTATATAGTTATTGCAGGAAATAAGTTTGTTTTCTCTCATTTAAAAAAAAAAAGAGAAAACATATTTTAACTTAAACCTAAATAAAACTAAGCAATAAATACTGTTCACCATTTCATAACAAATGTGGAAGGTAAGCATCTTAACATAGTAGATTCTAAAAGTACAACATTCATTAAGTTCACTCAGCATTATCATCTCAGCTAAAGAAAGCACATTTAACATCTCTGTACTCAACAACAAGCTACTACATCTTAAGATGCATCCAGAAATCAGGAGGAGTTCCTCAGGAAATTAACTGCAAGACAGATGCAAGAAAATAATATACATAAAATGCTAACAATATAGGACTTCCTGTCTTTTAATATACACTGTCTGGACTACATTAGTCACTCAGCAGGAGGAAGATATATGGAGTTTATCAATACTATATTAAAATAAGATTTAGCATGTTTGTGTTACTGTATGTGTTACTGCGTGGTTAACGCAACATAATGCTTTGCAGAGTTTTACACTGGTGAGTGTCACATCTCAAAATGACATCTAGATGATCCCAAGTAATGAATACACAAGATAAGGAATTTTTTCAAAGCTTCAGTGTTACATACGGATTCTATGCTGTTATTTACTTGTTTTTTAGAAGCGCCCAGTATCATAAATAATTCAAAGCCTAAGCAGATATTTAATTAACAGCTATTGAGGCAAATTCTTCAGCACCTCCGGAGATTATTACGTAAGTAAATTTCACACTTTAAATTTGATCACAGCAAATATCTGAAGTCAAATCCTGTACCCAGGCAAGCACGTGAACAGGTTCACTGAAAAAACCACCACGATAAACTATGCTGCCATTCTGGGGATGAAGTGTAAACATGAACATGTGCTTCCACATGTAGTAGCACACTTCAAGGGGTAGAAAAACGCCACTTTCATACAAAGCATTTTTCAAAGCAATTTATGTAGGTCAGGATCCTGTTCACCTCCCAAAGTTTCTCTCAAATCTATTTTCTTCATAAGACAGTTCACTTATCTACCAAATTTAGCAACTATGCAAAGAAAAGTTGAGCTTTCAGCACAGCAATCTAGAGCCGGTTTCTTACTCTATCCCATTTCCAAGTCTCCCCCCCAGTCCTCCCAAATACCCACTTGTGTTCTCCACCTATGGCATCCTATGCTACCATTGATTAGGAGCAACACATACCAACTAGCCAAATGGTAGGCTCATGCTCGCTTGCCAGCCCACTGCCACCTCAGCATGGACACAGGACCAGCGGGCAACGGCCTGTCCCCTATTAGGCGCAGCAGGCGACCTCTCTTACCCCAAACAGTTATCAAAACTCATGATACTCGCAGGAGCTTGAGCTCTGCCTCTCTGAAAATTTGGTTCAGTGTGATTAATCATGTTATTAAGAGTGGAAAAATGCAATCACACAGACCTCATTCTTCAGAAAATCAGGCTAAAAAAAGCATGATGCTGCACAAAATTCTCAAGCTTGGGAAAAAAGAATAGTAAATGTATACGACAGACTCACTACTGTGATAAAGGCAGTGCAAGGCCCAGATAAAATAAGCATTACTAGGGCACCGTGAACTTCAAGGGAGCATCTGAATTTAAGCTTTCAGCACAGTAGTTGCTATGCGACAACAGTCTCGCTGCATAAGCAAGAGCCTCTTTTCTTTCAAGAGCAGCTATATAAATTGCAGTCCTGTACTAACAGCTATAACTGTTCCAGCATCAATGTAGCATGACAGCAGTCACTTAAACTTGAACATCCTCAAATTGTATGATCATGGACAGAGATGTTACTTTACATCACCAAGTCAGAGCAGCCAAGCCTTTAAAATACTAGCGAGTGACTAAATCTAACTTTGCTCACTAGTTACCTCCACAGTATCTGACCTTGTCACAGATTTGAACGGTTTACTTAATTGTGGCCATAACAGTTACTAATGCGACCACGTTCTAAATGTAGCACCACTCTAATTCATTGCATTTTTGTAAATGACTTTAAAAGCTACCCTTAATTTCCTAAATAACGTTGTCATTTTCTTCTATGCTAGCAGCTAAGCGGGAAAGCATTCTTGAACCCTACTGGGTTCTTCCTAAGTGAGATTTTTAGATCATTATCTTCTCTTATAAAGGGCTTTTCCTGCATTTATTTACTCCATGAAATCTCCAAAGCTTTGCTAGCTCATATGCACAAAACCAATACAGACACACCTAAGCCCGTGAGTTTTGAAGGCCTACAGGCAACACACAGAACCTTAAAGCAAAAGCCTCTCTGAAACAATTTTAGACATATCATTGCATAATGTCCGAGTTGTATGACAAGTTAAAGCATAGCATGCAGTGGAACCTCTGTATTCCCCCAAAAGAGCGCTCAAGAGCACATTCCATCAGTTACTTCAT